GGGTACCCTTGAGCATCATTGAGTGTGACCTAAAAACTAATATATATATATATATATATATATATATATATATGTCACTGTCCTCCTGTTGTTCATCGATTTGCTCGAGCGGGCCCAATAACATCTCCATTTTGAGAGTTGCTGTTACTGTGTTTGGCGTATTGAATACTGAGAGTCATATTCTGTGTTTGGCATATTGAGTAGCTTGCCAGGCTTTGCCATGAGGGCGAGATACTCTCAGTAGCTTGCCGGGCTCTCCGAAAGGGGTGGAAGAATTGAACTTGGGTCGGCCATGTTGGCCCCTTGCAAGGCAAATGCCCTACCCGCTGTGCTATCACTCCAGCCATATATATGTATCACAAATCACAAATCACAAATCATCCTGTTATTCGTCGATTGCCTCGAGCAGGCCCCAGTAACGTCTCCTTCATCCTAGCCCTGAGATTATATTCAAGGCTCTTTAGGAGAATGAGACCCATCATTGTTACTGGTATTTGGCATATTTGGTACGCCATGGGGAGTTTGCCAGACTCTGCCGTGTGGGCAGACTACATTCGGTAGCCTGCCAGTTTGTCCAAGGTAGGAATGAGATAATAAGATGTCATAATAAAATGTCGCGTGGCCGCGAATGCGGCTGCGTGGTATATATATGTATACATACATAAATTTGAATTCAATTGTAAATGTTGATGGAGAAGCACAGGAATGCTTCTAGAACATTTGGTGATCGGTGTCTAATACAGCTTCAATCCCAGTGCTTTGCTCAGAGGAGACATGAAACAATTTTTGAACAGAGGAGGCCTTTCTCCTTCCTCCTACGAACCTAACGCTGATAGTCCTGTCAACACACTAATTTTTTTCTTTGTTGTTGTCATTGAGGCAACGTGGTGACTTGTAGGCTTCAGGTGTGCAAACATGCCCACACCTGCACCCCCACCAAAGGAGCCTGCCCCGTCCCTCACCTACCCCTAGCGTGGTCACCTCAGTTCCATTCCAGAGTCTAAGGAGACACGCATTGGTTCTAAATGAATTTCCACACAGGTCTCTCGGCTTACATGCAGACGTGTCCTTTAAACTCATGAAAAGAACAGCCTGTTGGCAGGCTGGTCTGGCCCTGGAGGGACGGGATGCCTCTGCAGGTACCCAGGCATTGGCGCTCTCGTTCTCGGTGAGATGCGCTTGCGGATAAGTGTCTGAGCAAGGAAACTGTGTTTCCCCAGAGTCGCAGAGAGCCCCGCGTCCTGCTGGCAACCCTGTGAGCGAGGGCAGGGCCCCTAAATGCCGTGAGTAAGGAGGCTGCCCGAGCACTATTTATAACCTTTCGTTTACTTTCCAGGTTACTGTTTCATGGGTGTTTTCCTCGCTCAGAAAACAGCGTCATGGGAATTCTCAAAAATGCACCCAAAGAGAAATCTGTAGAGACAGAAAGGGGGTCAGTGCTTGCCAGGATGGGAGCGGGAGCGACTCCTTTGTGGGTCACAGTTTCCTTTTGGAGGGAAAAGGAAATACCCTGGAGCAAGAACGTCTGGCCCACCACAGTTAGGTGCTAGATGCCACTCAACTTTTCACTCAAAGATGCCTCATTTTATAGGATTTTTACCTCAATCAAAACACCAGTCACGTAGTAGCACAATCACACTCAATGTGTTGCTGGACAAGGTGTTGCTACCTTCCAGAACAATCCCAGATCAAAGGTCCCACAGCACCTGTGCTTTGCCTTTGGAGAGAGAAATGGAGTCTCCGGGGTCCCGGAAGGTCTGAGACCTCAGAGCATCCCTAGGAATAGTCGGCTGAGCCCGTTTCACCCGAGACACGACCCTGCTGTCTGCTGGGGCTAGCACAGGGCCGGTGAGGATGTTTAGTCTGACTGAGGACTCTCGAGTTCTAGTGCTGGAGCCTACGACAGATTCTGTTTATTTTCTTTTTCTGTCCTTTCAACGAGTGGAACTTTCCAGAGACAGCACAGAATTCACAGGCATGGCGGGGGCCACCCTGCGTTGTGCTCCAGGGACAAGGAAGCTGCCCGGGGCAGTCCCAGGCGTCGGTCCTCCCCACACCGGGCCAGTTGTGCTGAGCAGAGGCTGACCATAAGGCAGGTGGCTGACTTGTCCCAACAGCTCGCGGCTTCTCAGAAACTGTTTTTCTGTTGTGTCGTTGGGGCAGGAACAGACGCTCTGTCAGTTGGGACATGCTAGGGTGTAAGGGCCGCTTCTGGAACAGGGGTGGGGCTGGCAGGGGGGCTTAGTGGCTCTCCTCCCCTCCCTCCTCCTCACCGGGGCCGGAGGCGGGGTGGCCCAGGTCCCACTCTCCATCCACGTTTTAACTTTTTTTTTTTTCTTTTTGGGTCACACCCGGCGATGCACAGGGATTACTCCTGGCTCTGCACTCAGGAGTTACTCCTAGCAGTGCTCAGGGGACTATATGGGATGGTGGGAATTGAACCCGGGTCGGCCACGTGCAAGGCAAACGCCCTACCCGCTGTGCTATCGCTCCAGCCCCTCCATCCACATTTTAAACACAGGAGTCTGAAGGAAAATCACAACCGGGCATTTCAAACCCCACACTGGAACCCAGAGCCCACAGGCTGGACTGTAATCAAGTTGCCCGGGCCAGCCGTGTGCTTTAACTGCTTCTTCGGTTCACTCCGTGTTTTGCCCTCCAGACCTTCTCATCTGCCTTCACAAGCCTGCTCTTGCCCACTGGCCAAGGGGCAACGTAGCGAACATCTTGGAAAAACTCAGTTCCTCGTGATGGTCTCGTGAGCAAAGAAAACCTGGGGACAGCTTTGTGTTCACTTGGGGGAAACCTAGAGCTAGAAAAAGGGGGTGTCTCCAGGCGTCCCTTCCCCAGACATCTTTCCTGGGAGACGACTGAGCCTCGGTGTGCCGAGCTAGTGGGAATTCCTCCAGAGTGAACCACCCACCCCAATCACCCCACTGTCCTGGGCCATGCTAAGCCAGAGCTGCGACCCCCTAGAGTGCCGTCTGAGTTGGGGACCTGTGGAGGTGACCCCTTCGCGTTTTTCTCAAGGAGAGACTGCACAGCTCGGGGTGCTTTCCAGGCATTAGCAGCTGATGCCAGGCCCTGAGTGTGGCTGGCAGTGGTGGTTCTCTAGCTGCCATGTGGGTGAAGAGGTGGAAACTTGGACACGCCAAATCCAGCTGCCAGGGCCGGGGCGGATGGGAAAGGCCGGGAAGGTGCTGAGGGAGGGACAAGTGCAGACACGTGGTCTCAGGCTTCTCTGCAAAGCCTCTGGAAGCTGGGGTGAAGGGGCCAGGCATCCTGCTTCGTGCCTCAGCAACGATGGGGGTCCCCAAGTTGCTTCCGACTTCCCAGCTGCCCACTCAAGACAAATGAGATGCTAGGAAGCCTAGTATCAAGCCCTGATGTGTCCCTCCAATGGGGGAAGTGACTGGTTTCTTTCTCATGCAGAAGGTCTTAGATAAACAGGGAAACTGAGGCTCTGAGAGGATGACTTTCTCCAAGCCTCGACTGCCGATGAATAGTGGGGTGGCAGGCCTAGGATTCAGGGTGCCTCTGACTCAGTCCAGAGCCCTGGAGTCCTCCAGAGAGCGGCCAACACACTTGTCAGAAGATGTGTCATTCAGGGGCTGACTCTCAGCGAGAGGCAGTAACCCTCCACGCAGTAACCAACCGAGGGGAGGTCTGGCCCCCACTTCCCCTGCAAGGAGGGAATGCCGCAGCCTGGATGATCCCCATTTGCTCAGGGTTTGTTTCCTCCAAGAAAAGGAGTCTCGGTGCCTCTACACCTAACACCGTATGTCAATGCAAAAAAAAAAAAAAGTGTTGCTGGAGACATGTGATCAGATCCCATGTGTGTAGTCCCCCGTAGCACACACATTGCTAGGTGAGTGACGGGGCACTCAGCCAATGGTTCTCTGAAGATTCTTGGGTTTCCAGAGTCCACCTGTTCTGACAAACTGACAATCTCCCTTCAGGGCCTGTGCCCTGAACTTGTACGGGCTGCCATTGGTGGCTGAGAAGGGGCCGTGAGAAAACGGGAACAGGCTTGGAGGGAGAAAGGAGAAAGTGGCTGAAAATAGGGAGGCAGAGGCTCTGCATGTCCACATCTCCTCTTCTGCATCCCAGAGAGACCAACGCCCACCAGGTCACAGGAGAGAGGTGAAGAGGAGATGCAATAAAGCAACCAGCAGAGGCTTCCATCTTAATTCATTTTATTCTACAAAATGCTACTCAATCGAAAGTGGAAAAACTAACAAAAAAAAAAACGCAAAAGGAACAAAAAGGTTTAATATGTTCTTTCTTCCATAGCAGCAAGCTTTCCTAACAAACTTTCTTTAGTGCAAATACTGCAGGCTTGTATTACAGTAAAATACAAAACAACAAACACCACCAGAGATGTTTCAGACCAGTTACTCCTCGAGGTTCAGAACTATACAAAGATGCTGGCGCTCTTGGTCCTGGCTAGAGAGAATTACTCCAAAGGGACCGTTTCACCAATACTTTTTTTTTTAAAAAAAACGGGAAAAGGTACTCAGAAAAGGTCATTCAAATCCCCCCTCCCCAGAGCTCTAGAAATCTTGTACAATAAGTTTCCCTCCAGGATCTGAGAGCGACACTATTCCACATCATTTGACGTATCTCAAATACAGATGCACAAGGCTTACGATTTCCCACTCTACCAAAATACTATATACACTTCTCCCACGGCAGAAAAGAAAACACCCCGATACCTACTCTTTATACAAAGGCAAATAATTTCTTCCTCAACATCGAGCAACCACGTAACTAAAATAAATGGAATAAACTTCTCATCATACAAAGAAAATAAGTTTCTGAGAACAGGACAGGATCTGCCCTCGGGTTCTTCTACAATATCGACTGCTGGGTGACCACTGTCCCCAGAGGCACGACAATCCATCGTTTAAAAACAGAACCATTTTATACAGTTTATACAGCACAAGTCACAAATCATTTTAGGAACAAAAAAAAAGCATCATTAGGCTAAATTTAAAAACAAAAAAAAAAGGAAAACAAACAGGAGAGAGAGAGGGAGAGAGAACTGAGTATTTTAATGCTATCTGTTTCTAGTCCGGCTTGGTACAACACAAAGATGTAAACATTGAAAATAAATAATAAAATAAAGGTTGACTGTTGCCTCCCCCTCCCCTTCCCATTTGCCTGTTGAAGTCTGACCCAGTCCCCCCCCCCACACACACAGGCCAGCACTGAATGGTAAAAACCCAGTGGTGGGGTGGGGGGGGAGCCCATAACCCTCGAAGCAGGAGTATATGGCATTAGGAGTGGGGTGTCTGGGTTCCTTGTCTAAAGTTGCAGGAGGACGTGGGCACACCTGGAAAGGTATACGTGTGCACGCGCGCGCACGCACACACCACACCACACACACACGCACACACACACACACACACACGTCAATAAATAGTGAGATGCTGGCTTGTAAGATGAATACCAAGGAGACTCAACAAATAGAAAGTAGCAAGCCCCCTTTACTGAACTTTTAAGAGGCAGTTACACACACCACATATCCTATTGGTCCACAAATTCTAGAAGGACTCGGGAGACCCCCTCCAACCATCTGCGGAATGCGAGGGGGTAGAGGGGAAAGAACTTTAGAACTGGGGGGCGACTTATCGGAGGGGAATGGTCTTTGAGGACAAACCTCCGACTAAAGGCAATCTTGCTTCGGGAAGACCCCAGTAGAAGACCCCTGGGGTGGGTGCTTAACCGCTGAGGAGCCTTTGGAGGGGATCCCTGCATGCCTTAGTCTCATCCTCGAGTGTATACAGAGAAGCACTGAGTCCTGGGGGGATGGGCAGGGACCACACCTGCAGGGGAGTGGGGAGACTGAAGCAGGATTTCTTAGGAGAAAGCAAGGCCCATGGTGGAGACGGCTGAACCCACCCTTCGCCCTAGAGCCCCGGGAGGCCAGCACGACAGCGTCCCCCGAAGTCTCAGCCCAGGGCCAGCCACCACAGCCACTGAGGGCTCCTGGCTTTGCACTGTGCGACCGGTCACCTTTGCAGGATGTCAGCACAGGCTTTTCTTTCTGAACCCCCCCACCCCCAGGGTTCTCGGCTTAGTGTTGGCTCAGGCGAGTTCTGCCTCCTGCCATCGGGGTCCTTTCCTGGGTCGGCAGCTCGCCTGCTACCCCCCAGCCAGGAAGAGGTCAGCTCTGAGCTCCAGGGGGCGATTCCCTGCACCTCCCACCAGCCCTGCAGGGAGCCCAGGGCAGGGCACCTCCTCCCCGAAACACATCCCTGCAGCCGAGCCCTCAGCTGGAGCATGGACATGCATCAGCCCTGGAGTAAGACGGTGTGCAGGGAGCTGGAAGAACCCACCAGAAGAAAGTACCTTGGGTGCCAACAGTCCTCCTCCCCAGATGGCCTCTGCCTGTGGGGTAAGGGGACAGGGAGCCAGCCACACGACATCTTAGAGCAAAGGTAGAACCTCTGAATGGAAAAATGCAGCTCAAAAGTCTGGGAGACCCCAAAGTCCTGGGGGCCTGTGTCCTCTGGGAGTCCCAAAGCCATCCCCGCTTGAGAGCAGATGTCTCAGGAATGTCAGGTTGGCCCCAAGTCACTGGCAGTGACCTGGCTGGGGGTTAGTGCTGTGCAAAGCGGCGGGGAGAGGGGTGCTTTGTGAAGAACCACCCCAAAACTCTCTAGATAAGTCTCCCCCCTGGCTGCCTTTACACAAAGCGCTCTCAGGTGGCCGACAGCTTGGCACGATGGCACCTCCAGAGCAGGGCACAGCTCAGCCGGCTTCACCCGCCTTCTGCTACTCCCCACGGCTTCTGTCTTCAGGATTAATCTGACACCTGATGGTCCCACAGTCTAAGGAGTGTCTGATCCCACCAGCACCTCTGGGAGACCAGGAGGCATCAGAGCCAAGGAATGGAGCTTTAAGCATTTTCAGACAAAAGTCGGGTTTCCTTCCCAGGTGGCCAATCCTTCCCCCTCCCTTCCGGGGATGCCCCGTCTCATCCTCTGGGTGCTAAGCTGAAGGGACATTGAATAAGAAGCAGCATGGGAGGTCTTAGGCGGCACGGGGCACGAAGGAACAGGAAAGCAAAGAGCTCAACTCTGAAGCTTAAGTTAGATGGGAGGTTGGGTTCACGGGGAGGTGGGGAAGGGTGGGCGTCTCCGGAGTGGGGAATTAAGGAAGAGCAGGGGGAGAGAAAGGCGGGACAAGGACCCCCTTCCCCAACCCTCAACCAGCCGAGAGAGGCCGCAGCTTCCCTCAGAGGGAAGAACTCATCTTCCCAGGGGCGGAACCGAAGCCTGGAGCAAGAAGAGACCCAAGGCCCCTTGGGTCCCCGACGGCTGGGCCCGAGGGTGGGCCAGGGGCAGGACTGGCAAAGCTCTGGATTCATCAGGAGGGTGAGTCCCCTCGGTGGCTTCCAGCCCTGCCTCCCTCCCTTCCTCCATCCTCAGCTCAGGCTCCTGGGTGGCTTGGGGAGGGTCCAGGCCAAGCTCATTAAACCTCCGTGGGTGGGAGCGCCAGGGAGGAGGGAGAGGGCGGGGCCGCGGCCCTGGGCTGCAGGGGAGGGTCCGGGCAGGCTGGCGAGCGGTAATTACAGGAGGCGAGGCCTGCCCAAGACACCGGGCGAGGGGAAGCTGGCGAGGGCACCGGGAGGCCTGGTTGGCACTATTCCTGGCCTGGTAATTAGGCACTTGGCAAACCCGACCTGTGCCCTCCCTGTCGCCCTCACACCCTGGTCCTCCAGCCAAGATGCTGTGCCTTGATGGGGGCTGCTCTGGGCCTCACCACGGGGGTCTGGAGATGGGGCGGGGGCCTGGAGAGTGTCCGGGGGCGGGAAGGTCCTCTATTGCACATGGACTGTCCTCTCTGGACAAGTCAGCCCCAGCAGAAACGTCCCCTGCTTCCTCATCTCCAGACACAAAGCGCTTGGGATGTTCACACCGAAACCCCCCTCCCCCATGAAATGTCATGGCAAACTGGATAAAAACCCAAAGAAGTGAAAGCTGACCCTGGGTGGGCGAGGGGGTGGAGGGAGGGGGCCACTGAGGGGGAGAGGCGTGACCAAGGCACTGAGCATGCGTGGCAGGGCGGGGCGGGGCAGGGTACCTCCAGCATCACCCAGGGACAGCGATGGGTCCACCCCGCCCAGGCCCGGCAGAGGCCAGAGGGAGGCCCGAGTCCACCACACCCAGTTCTCCGAGGCTTTTCAAGAAACAGGATTTGCTCTGCAGGATGAAGGGGCAGGGGTGAGGGGTTGGGGTGGGGGTGGGGGGGAGATCTTCCGAGTCCCCCGGTACTACCCCCCCCAACTCACTCCTCACGGCCACGTCCCACCTGGTCTCCCCCCAGCAGGGAGCTCTCTGCCAGGGTCCCCCTCGTGCCGGGTCCCGGGGCGGTGGGCGCGGGGCCCCGGGGTGGGGGGGCCGTTACAGAGCCAGCAGGGTGGGCGAGTTCAAGGAGTCCGAGGACTGGTCCCCACTGCTACTGCTCCTGCGGTGGGCCTTGGAGCACGACTCGGAGGGCGACGCCGGGGACTCCTGCTCCAGGACGCTGGGGTAGGTGAAGACGAGGTTCGAGGTGCCCGGGGTGATGGCCGGCGTGGAGGTGACCACGATGGGGGTGTGCAGAGGCTCCTCCCCGTAGAAGCCCCCCGCGATGCTGATGGGCTTGATGACAGAGCGTTGGGCCTTGTCCAGCCCGGCGGCGGCAGAGGACGAGGGGCTGTCCTCCTCCAGGGGCTCCTGCTTGACCACCACGGAGCCTGCGCCCACGCCCGCGGCGCGCAGGGGCTGCAGCCCGGGGGCCGGCGGCGAGCGGCGCTCCTCGGGGCTGATCTTACACACGGGCCCGTGCGCCACCAGCATGAACTCCAGCTTCTCCTTCTCCTTCTGCAGCTCGGCGATCTCCTTCTGCAGGCCCGACTTCTCCTCCTCCAGCTCCTCTGTCTCCTGCAGGGGCCCAAAGAGACGTCCGTAAGGGACAGGGGAACGCCTGCCCCACGCCCCCAGAGAGCAAGAGCAGCTCAGCCCCACACCTGGCCACAGACCCTAAGGCTCTGAGTCACCTGGAGCACAAAGATCCTTCAAGTCCCCAGAGGCCGGATGGAGAAGGGGGAGTCGGCTCAGAGAAGAGGGGGGATAACCAGGGGACAGGACTCAAGGGGCTGAAGTCCACGCTGTGGGCATGGGAGCAGGGACCCTGAGCACTAAGCTGGGAGTCACCCGTGAGCACTGGACCAGGAGTAACTCCCAAGCACCAGCAGTTGTAGACGCTAAATTCCCCCAGAGATTAATAATAATAATAATAATAATAATAAAAACATGCCAACCCTCGCTGCCAAGACTTCGCCTCCGAGACTGCGTGAGCACTTCATAGGCTGGAGCTCACGTTTAATCGAATGGTTTTGGGGAAACAGGTCGTACCATGAAACGAACCCATTGTGCAGATAAGGGAACTGAGAGGTTTAGCAGTTTTCCCTAAGTCCCAGAGGCCGCAGGAAGGGCAGCCCAGAGGGAGCTGACTCCAGAGTCCAAATGCTGTCCCGCTGCCAGGATGGATCACCTGGGACTCGGCCGGGTGAGTCATGGGGAAGGAGGAAGGACTGAAGCCATCCTGTGTTCCTTCTCAAGCCCAGCCCCGCCAGCTGTGTAGGCATGAAGTCTACACTGCCTGGCTCTATGGAGTTCTGGCTGCAGACGGAAGCTTGGGGCGGGCGCTGGCACGAAACTGCCCTCCATCCAGGTCGGATCACTTCAGCACCGCTTCCGTTTTGGTTTCAGAGGCCGGGGAGGGCCTGTCACATGGCTCTGGGCTTCCCAGAGGAAGGGAAACAGGCAGCCCGGGGGACGCGAGGTGGACAGGGTCATCCAGCCAGTGCCTGGGCTCCCCCCCCCCCCCCCGCCCCGCTCTTCTACAAAGCCACAGAAGGGAGGAACGGAAGAGGAGTGAGTAGGAGGTGAAAAGGTGTGTGTCACGGCCTCCCCTACCCCACTCTTCCCCCTAACCCACATTCCCGTTCGGGAGCCCCCTGGACACGGGCCCGAACCTCAGCGGGCAGACTATAGACGATTCCGAACTGAACAAGAAGTTTCCATCTGTCTCAGTGAACGTCACGAGCTTAAAGAGGTTTCCTGTGGAGGATGTGGCTGGTCGGGGGAGGGAGGGAGGGAGGGGGCAGGAGACTTCTGGGGGAGGAAGGGGGCGGAGGAGGGCGGGAGCCAGAGGCGGAGCTCCCCTGAGGCTGATGCTAAGGAACCCGGCTTCTTGCGAGGCTGGCAGGAAGCTGGCGCTCCGGGGGGATGTGCTGACCGCACAGGACCCAGTGCCCCGGGCCCCAGAGAAAGTCCTGCTCACCGTCCTGTCCCTGGCCCTTCCAGGAGGCACTACTACAAGCATCACAGAACTCACGAAGCTCCCGTTCAATACCCGGAGCCAGCGTTCCCAGTGGGGGGACCCAGGGCAGCTGGAGCAGGTGGACAGTAACTGGAGGGTTGATAAAGGGCTGGGCAGGGCATGGGAGCTGGTGCCCTCCAAAGTCCCTGGCTGGGCACGGCTGGGGCCACCGTCATCTTCCCCCACAACCGTGGCCACCTCCACACCTGGCCAGCCTCCAGCCTGCGAGTTAGTGCTGACTTCGGGCCCCCGCTGCAGGGCAGATGGCCCTCCCATAGGGCCAGGCTCTGGAGGAGGGAGGTACGTGATGTTCGTCAGGTCAAGCTTTGGGGAGGGAAGGGCATGGGGCCCCAGGTGCAGGCAATTAGGCAGCATGGGGGAGTGACTCACTAGGGCAGAGTGAGGGCCCAAAGCCACAACTTGGGGCTTCCAGAGGAGGAACCCGCCCGCCCGCAGAGGATGTGAGAAAACCCCGAGAGAGTACTCACTGGCCCTGGCACCTCGGCCTTTCTCTGCCAGCACTCGGGGGACACAAGACAACCCCCCCCACACACACACACGCACACGCGCGCGCGCACACACACTTCCCTGGAGAAAGCAAGGAGCAGAAGAAACGGCATCATTCCCTGCCTCCGCCCATCTCAATCCCTAAACTGAGCAAGACCCTCGGCTGGAGTTGACGAGAAGGGAAGCAGGCCTGGGAGGGGCAGGTCAGGGCCTGCTCTGGGTCCTGGCGCCCAGTGAGAGCCCCGAGCTGCCCTCTCTGCGCCCAGGCCGGAGTCATGTGGCACTTCCTCAGTCACGTGCGCAGAGCAGGGCAGGGCTGTCCCCACTGATGCGATCTCAGGCCACTCGTGGGCAAGCAAGCAGCGGGCTGGGAGAGCCAGGCCCCCTGCCCCAACCCCAGCACTGGCCCTGCTCCCGTCCCAGCCCCCACCGCGCCAAGCGAGCGAGCTCCTTACAGCCTGCAGTTTCTCCGTCAGCTCTCGGCGGCGGTTCCGACACTTGGCAGCGGCCAACTTGTTCCTCTCCCTCCGGATTCGACGTTTCTCCTCCTCCTCGGGAGACAGCTAGTGGCCAAGGGCAAAGACAGGATTAGGCTGGGGTAAACGGCTACCACCAGGGTCTGGGGTAGGGGGGTTCGGGTTATTCCCGCCTCTGCAGCAGGATGAGAGGCCCCGCTGGGACAGGAAGCTCTGGGGAACCCAGCAAGGGAGGGTTCAGAGGCCGCCTGTGGCCCCACTGCTGTTGGCCCTCCGGGGCTCGGGGCTTTAGGGGCCGTGGACGGGGATGTCAGAGGTCTGGAGGGGGATCGCGGCAGGTGTGAGGTGATAGCATCGGCCCTCCTAGCCTGACTCAGTGCCAAGGCCAGGGATCAGGAGCTGGGCTGCTCCCCACGGGCAGGTGGCGGGGGGAAGGGGGGGTCCCCTCAGACCAGCCTGGTCTGGCCCCACCCACATAAGCAGCTTCTCCCAGACCCCAGCTAATTACTCCTCCCCAGCACCATGGCTCAAGCCTCATTATCCCCATTTGGTTAAACGGCGGGGCCCGGGGTAAGAGGCCGCCGGGGAATGTTCTGTGGCCAAGGAAGGACTGACAACACCAGGCTACTCCCCGTGTCCTCAGCCCGCGCCGGGGGAGGGCGGGCAGCGGCCCCCTTGGTCAGCGGGGAGGACGGATGCCCAGCTGAGCGCTCGGCTGAAGAGATGGCAAGAGGAACCCTCAGACCACCACATCCGTCAATTGCGTAAACACGCACTGGGGGTGGTGTGCCGGACCCCACTTCCCAGGAGTCCCGGGCAAGGCACAGAGCCCCTCATGGAGTGGCCTCCACCCAGTCCCCGGCAATGCCAGGGAACGAGGACGTGGCTCCCTGGAGCCGGGCTCTGTATGGGCATGGCCCGAGCCACTCAGTTCCCAGGCAGTGGCAGCAGGAGCAGAGCCCTAGAAGATTCCAGGGGGAGTCAGACCACCATCCTGGGTCCCCCCAGGGCGCTGCCCTCCCATCCATGGGACCCACCACCTGGGGGAGGTCCTCGCCCCAGGGCTGTGCCCAGGGCCCAGCTCTGCGGCAGAAGCCAGGCAGAGGGCCAGAGAAGACACCCCCAGGCCTGCCCACCCTGGGGCGACCCTAGTCCCGAGGCCACGGCACTGGGTCCCCTCTGCAGACGTGGCCCCTGGCAGGGGAGCACAGATGTGCTTTTTTCTCCACTCCCAGGGCCTCCTGCCGCCGCATGCTGGCGGCCCAAAGGGAAAGCTGGCAGGCCGGACGCCCCCTCCCAGGGCTTTGGGCAGACCCCCATACCCCAGCTCGGCCATGCCACATTCCCTGCTCTCCTCCACTGCCCGGGCCACCCGCAGTCAAGAAACGGGAGACCCGGAGACCAGGCGCCCGGCACCCGGGCAGCTGAGGTCAGGGAACCGCTTGGCCCCGGTCCTGAATGCTTGCGGCTCCTGAACCTGTTTCAACCTGAGCCCACCAGTCTGCGGGCGAGGCCACGGGGCTGCTCCCGGCGCCCAGCAGGGCCCACGTCCGCCTCTCCTCCCCCTGCACTGTCGCTGGCCAATGCCGCGCCCCTGAGCTGGCCTAGAGGTCCCCTCCCCAGCTACCACGGTCTACCACAACTGGTGGGAACCAGGGGCACAGGAAGTGCTTGGGGCGGTGGCACCCACGGGGTCACAGCCTGCGTCTGTCAGGGGCACCAGGAACCCAGCACCAGCCATACACACCCCGGGTCACCCCCACCCCCTTAGACACTGTTCCCCAGGGGCACCTCAGGGCAAGCTCTAGAAGGAGGCACGGGGTGCCGAGGCCCGTTTGCGGGAGGAGGCGCCAGAAAAAAGTCTAGAAAATGGGAAAGGCACCGTCCTGGGAGGCTCGTGCCAGGCTTCCTCCCGCGGTGGGGGGACGGTCCCAGCGCCTCTCTGACGTGGGTAAGAGGCCACTGGCTCGCTCCTTCCCTTTCACAAAGGAAGGAAATTCTCCAGACAGAACATCGAGGGCGCGCCTCCGTGGTGCAGTGGGAAAACCAGGGGCTGAAGGTCGAGAGAGCTGAAACCCAGCCCAGCCCTGCTGCCAGCTCCCCGTGAGAGCCGGAAAGGGCCCTTCTCCCTGCCGGGACTCAGTTTCTCCTGTTCAGAAAAGCTCCTCCTTGCTGCCGGCTCCTGGACGCCATCTGAGGTCCCCCGGGAAAGAGCAAGCCGTGGCCCTCATTTGTCTTGGTGACCGGCCTGGTCCCAGGGACCGATTAAGGGACATCCAGTGCACTGCTGGCAACTAAGCGTCACCGCCTGGGCTCTGCAGGGCAACAGGCTTGAGAAGGACAGCAGGTCAGGGGGGCTGCCTCGCACACCCCCGGGTTCGATCCCTGGCACCATCAGGAATGATCCAGGAGGAAGCCCCGAGCACTGGCAGGTGCGGCCCCGAAACCAAAACAAAACTAAAGGGACATTGGGCTAAGCAAGGACTGGGAGCAGGGACAGCGGCGTCGGTCACGCAGCGTCCCCTGCCACCGTGCGCTTACAGGCCCAGCTCACTGCCCCTGGAGGCCACTCCCCAGGGAGCAGCAACCCCACCATCAAGAGCAGTCCATGAACAGTCAGCTCTGCCCATCTACCAGACACTGTGTCTGGGACATCCTGGCCCTGGACCGGTGCCCCAGGGCCGCGGTGGGCAGAGCTTGGCCTGGGCAGAAGTTCTAGGGCAGAGAGTTCTCAGGACTAACATTCCACTGGAGCAAAGGGATCCCAGGGCTCAAGGAAATCTTTTCCGGGGGGTTAGAGGGTGGGGTGTGAGGGTAGCAGAGAACCAGGAATCAGGGAAACCGAGCTCAGTTCTGTGGGGGCCCAGGGGGGTGCCTGGCAGGGGTGTCTGGGCCACCCTTAAAGGAGCCACAAAGGGGGTGGGGGGTATGGGTGAGGAGAGGTTCAATCCCTTTTTTTCTCGAATAATGCCCGGCTGTGGTTCCTCTTTACTGGAGCCGCAGGGCTCTGGGGGACACTCCCCCCCACCCAACCATGGGTACAGATGCCAGGGGCGTGGCCCCAACTGGAGAGGGCCCACCTCCTCCAGGGCTCCCCTGATCTGAGTCCTGACACTGCTTCCTCTCTGGGCAGATGCCGATGACCCCAGGGCCAGCATCACGGAACTTCTGGAAGGTACATTCCTAGTCTCGTCAGAGGCCCAGGAATGGGGGCTGGCGGGGAGGGGTGAGGGGTGCACCAGGGAGGAAGGAGGGGACCAGAGAAGAGACAGCACCAGCTGAGAAGGTGACCCTCTAGGCCTCTGGTGTCTCCTCTGCACCAGTTAGGAGCTGACCTCGGAAAGCCCCCAGTTTGGACTTCTGTCCCCCTGCCCAGTATCAGAGAAAAATAAGCTGTGGGGGGAGGGGGAGCCAACCCCCTGCCACTAGCTGGTGCTTCCACACCTGGTCTCGGGTGCCCTTAACCCCACTCGGACTTAGAGTTGCAAAGGAACAGAGGCAGATGCCGGAGGTGGGCCTGCCCCGCGGCAGGTCCCCGGCTCTCCCTTCTCTTCAGGACTCCTAGATCACTCTTTGGGGCCCCAAATGTCACCCAGGCGTCCCCCCGTCGGCTGGCCCGGGCTGTACCTGCTCGTCTCTCCGCCTGCGGCCCACGGTGGTACCAATGGTCTTGATCACGCCGGGTCTCGGGAGGGCCATGTGCCCGGGGACGGAGGCCAGGCCCGGCAGGGGGCTATACGGGTGCGAGCGGGGGTACGGGTTGGACATGGAGGTGATCACCGTGGGCTGCACCATCCACTGGAGGTCCTGGCTCGTCGTGATGGCGTTGATGGTGGGGATGAAAGCGCTGCCCGAGCCAGGCATATCTACCCGGAATTTCTGGAAGGAACAGACAGGGAGACGATTGAGCTCGCAGAACATCCCCGGCGGGAGAGAACGCAGAGCCGAGAGGCAGAGCCCAGCAGAAGGCAGGACCAGGCTTGGCGGGACTGGGTTGGGACAGCCGGGGTGTCCTCTGTCCATGGCCTGTACCCCCAAGAGGCAGGGGCACTGCACGCCTCTTGGGGGTTCCTGGAACATGTGCTAGACACCGCGTGGTACAGGAGATCACAGTTTCCAGAGCAGGTGATGCTCCGCGACTCACACTCAAGAGGCCTTTTGGGGGCCTCTGAGGGCTCTGACCACGTGGGCAGGAGGGCAGGACGCTCGCCGGGGAGGGCAGGGACAGTTGGAGGTTTGCACACTGACATGTGTTCCCCACTAGCCTTCAGAGGGCGCAGGGCCACCCCTCAGGTCCCTAAAAGGAGGCCCTCCACCCTCAGGCTGGAAAGGAGTGGCATTTGTCGTCAGACTGTCTCTGGCCGTCCTTGTCACCTCCCCCACACCCCTTGCCCTTCCACCCTTTGGGGCAGACAGAGTCTTCCTCCACGCACCTGCTCTCTGCGCGTTCAGGTGTCTCAGAGACGCGCAGGGGTTGCTAACTCCTAGTTTTCTCTCCCTGCCTCTGAACTGCGCCCTGACCACGTTGCCACCTTGCCAAGTTCTCTGGAATATTCCATTCAAAATATAGGATGAGGCCAGAACACAAAAGCTCGAGGGCCAAGTGCCTCAGCCTTGGAGTCGACCTTCTTTCCGAGAAGCTTCTAGGAAGTGGAGAAGGGGTCCCCAGCCCCTCCCCCACTTCCAGCTTTTCAAGGGAAATTTACCAGGTGAACCCTCCTCTCAGAGGATGCCTGTTTAAAAAATAATAATAATAATAATAAAAATCCGCAAACGCTTTCTTCCCTGGGCTGCTGTGGAAATGACGACGCCCGACCAGCTACCACTTAGGGAATCATGAACTGGCACCCCGGGGTGTGGCCTCAGCCAGGCTGTGGATCTTCTTGCACGGCCCTGGGGCAGAGACAGCCCATCACCTCCATTTGGGAGGCAGAAATTCAGACTCAGCGATTAAGGCCACACTGCTAATAAGCAACAGGGTCAGGACGCCAACCGGCCCGGCCCGCCAGAGGCTGCCGCTGCCAGGCACGGCTCTGAGCAAGCGTCCCCAGCCAGCCTCCCGTGCTCCAACCCACCCTCTCTGCCGTAGGTGTCAGGGCCACCCTGCAAAGGTCCCTGCGGGCGTTGTGTTTCTTTGTGGAAGCCCCGCATTTGGCCCCAAGAGTGACCCTGCTGTCATTAACCTGGATCCTCTAGCGTCCCCTTAATAAGACCGACTGAGATTCAGAGAACTCTCAGCAGTGGCAGCTGGTGACAGCATGTAGATTCCTGCGGTGCTAAGCCAGGGAAGTGGAGGACACTCACTTCAGCCTCCCCCCGCACCCCTGCCAGCTGCCAGACCCCCATCCTGGGTGGTGGGAAGTGGGCCCTCAGAAAATCCTGGGTTCCCCAGACCAAATGCACGCAGCGATGAGAGGCGCCCGATGCCATGATTCCCGGGCTCCCACAAGGAGCAGTGCCCAATGCAAAGGACTCTGGGGACTCCATGGAGAGCTGCTCGGTGGGAAGGATTCCAAGCTGCACCTCTGCAGGCAAAAAGAACTGGCTTCTTACCACAGCTCACGGGCAGGTGTGCCTGGCTGTGTAAAGAAGGGAAGGGTGCGGGAATGGGAAGGACTCAGTGGAAATGAACAACCCAGAGTGGCTATGAGGAAGTGGACAAGACTCAGGTAACCGAGGGCACACACACAGGCACCAGAGCCCAGGCAATACCCCTCCTCTAGTCCTGCTGAGTTGGGGGTGGAGGGATCGAAAGGAAAGAAGGTGACCCGGAGAGACGCACTGAACTCAGCCACTGAGTGCTCAGGCCTTGAGAAACGAGGACTCTGTTTCCCTGTCTGTTAAGAGGAAATCCTACACCAAACTCACAGCACTGATATGAGGATTAAATAAGTAGCTGCTTATAATCATAGGCTATAAAAGCAAGCCAGTAGTTCTCCACCCTGGCCACACATTAGACTATTCTGAGGAGCTTTTTTAAAACCATGAAGAGCCAGTCCCACCCTGAGAGGAGATTTGAAATAATGGGTTTGGAGAGAGATTTCATTAAAAAAAAAAAAAAGAACAACCAACTCTGAGGAGATTCTAAGATGCAGCCAAGAAGGAAAAACACTGTCCAAACAAATGGAAAGTAGTGTCATCATCTCATCACTATCATCACCATCATGGCCACCATCCCCACTACTATGACTGCCAGTATCACTACCATGGCCACCATCTCCACCACTGCCACCATCATGGCCGCTATCCCTACCATCATGGCCATTTGACCACCATCATCATGGCCACCATCCCCACCATGGCCACCACCATGGCCACCATTGCCACCATCATGGCTGACATCCCCACCATCATGGCCACCATCTCCACCATTGCCATCATCATGGCCAACATGCCCACCATCATCATGGCCGCCATCACCACCACCACCACTACCACCATCACATCACTACCATCGCCACCATCAAGACCACCATCACAGTCATCACCACCATCACTGGTATCACCACCATCATCACCATCAAGCCGCCATCACCATCCTGGCCCACCATCACTATTGCACACCACGGTCATATCTATGACCATATCTCTCCATATGGGATGGCTCTGGAAAGAACTGCCAACTTCCCACTCGTGGGAAGCACCCAACTCTTTTTTCTTTTTTAATCTCATTTATCTCCCCAAGACAGGTTTTGAGTTTGAAGGGGCCCTACATCTCTGAGAGGAACTGTCAACTTTTAGGAAAGCACCCAAGAAATTCATTTCTCACTCTAACAAACAAAACAAAAGAGTTTCAGGCTGAGGAAGCAAGCAGACCCCGGGAGGCAGCACTTGGAGATTAAGCTCTTGGGAAAATCAGTGGCTGACACGCAGACCCTCACCGCAGACCCTCACTGGGCCTTCCAAGCCACTCTGCTCTGGGATGGCGGGTCTAGAGAATGTGCTCCCGGCCATCAGCCAGATTCCTGGCAGCTAAGGCTTGGTCTAGACAAAACAAGACAGCAATAAAAACAAGGCAGCAGGTAATGACTGTCTCTAAGGGCACGTACAAGTTGTTTGAGAGGGAGGTAAAGCCATCTGGATAACACACTGGCCCTAAACTGTAAGAAAAACAATGTCCCAGCCCCAGAGGGGACTGGGGCCTTGATAAAGAAGGCTTTTGTCTCTGAGAGAACACACATATCAGCAAATGAGGGCTAGCTCATGTCAACTCAAAGGTATTGAGAAGTGAGTGACAATGGAGTTAGACAAGAGATGAGGTGCCACTTCTGGGGCCCCGGGAGTGAGCCTGGAATTCCTCTTTGCCAACAGACCCCAGAGTCATGTGTCTCTGGGTTTCAAGCTGGTTCTCTGGCTTAACATGGAATAGAAACAGGCCTGCCCAGCTATGGCATTGGGGCAGGGCAGGGGGGACAGAGGAGGTCACCCAGAATCTCACTAGACCCCCGCTGGGGCTCCCCCGGTCCCCACGGATGCTCGCCCTCCGGGGCCTTTCTGCCTCAGAAACCCTCCAAGTACCCCTGGGCTCCTGAATGGGCAAGAATATACGAAGAGGACAAACTCACCCCGGAGGTCTGCCCAGCAAAGTTTGGCAAGCCTTTGCCGTGAAACACCAGGGATGCACAGCTTAGGTTTGGGGGCTGCTGTCTCGGCACTCACTGGCGTGAAAGCGGAGAGAAGCTAGGCAAACAGGCGTGTGCGATCCACCGGAATTCTACTACAAAAATGCAGGACTCGCGAGGGAGCATGGCACCCCAGGTCCCGACCAGAAGGGAGGGTTTCCTCTAATCCCAGAGTCGGGGGGCGGGGGGCTGGGTTCTCACAACCGCGGGGCTCTGGCCTCAGGATCCCCGCTCTGTGTAGCATCTGAGTTTGATCCCTGGCACTGCATGCGGTTCCCCAGACACACCGGAGTGATCCCTGAGCACAGAGACAGGAGTGAGCCCTGGGCACAGTCCTTCCCCCTCACGCCCCCACCCAAAGAAGAAGGTTGCCAGGAACCCAAGGCCTGAGCCCCCCAGCATCCTCAGCAGGAGAAGTGCCTCCAGTGCAGCAGCTTCTGATTTGAAAGTTTTCCATTTTCCTGCAAACCGAAAGGTGGACAGGCTCATTCCACAGAATCCTGAGCTGAGCAGAAACGGCACTTGAGACCAAGGCCAGGAGAATCCTCGGCCGAAACCCTTTCTCAACATGACTCTATCAGCCTGACACCCACAGGAGGCAGGGAGTGTGTGTGCGTGTGTCCGTGCGTGTGTGTGTGTGTGTGTGTTAGGGAGAGGGGCCTAAAGATCTCCATCCAGGAAGCCCAGGAATATAGGAATACCTGGAAGCTGCCTGGGACCAGACTGGGATTTTTCTCTCCCATCCCACCCCCTGCCTTTTGTTTGTTTTTCTAAGAGTCCAAACATGGAAAAAGGAAAATTCCAAGATCTCAGGAGACGGACAGAGAGGAGAGGAGAGGTGAGGGCAAGTGCAGCCGGGAGCTTCCCAGGAAGTCCCCAAACACCCTTGCTGAGGCCCCATCTGGTTCAAAGTCTCAACATTGACCCTACACTTGGGAGCCGCTCCCAAACTTCTCTCTGGATTGCAGGAACTCTCTACTTTGGACATCACTCCTAGCTTTGTTCTATCACATTCCACCATTTCCAACTCAGGAATTACACACACACACACACACACACACACACACACACACACACACACACACCAAAGAGACAGTATACCAGAACCATTGCGGATGAGCGGTCCTCCTCCTCATTTCTCCTCAATTCACCTGGAAAATTCACGCTCTCTTCCTTTCCCTTGGCTTCTCGGGTGAAGAAAGGCAAGGAAGAAAAGAAGGGCCGGTAGGGGGTATCTCCCCAGGTCCCTTCGCATCA